TGTTCTTGAAGAGGAGCTGAAGATGAGATTCCTGTTACTTTGCAAACAGTGCAAGGCTGTTCTTTGCTGTCGTGTCAGTCCGAGTCAGAAAGCTGCGGTGTGCCAAATGGTCAAGAAGGGACTGGATGTTATGACTTTGTCTATTGGTGATGGTAAGTCTTGACTCAAATGTTCGAGTGACGAGACATGAGCTAACAATTCTTCAGGTGCAAATGATGTAGCCATGATTCAAGAGGCTGATGTCGGTGTCGGTATCGCCGGTGTGGAAGGACGACAGGCTGTCATGTGTTCTGATTATGCCATTGGACAATTTCGCTACCTTAGCAGGCTTGTGCTCGTTCACGGTCGTTGGTCTTACCGCAGGGTGGGAGAAATGACTGCCAACTTCTTTTATAAGGTTTGATACACCCTTTCTAATTGCTTTAAAGTGCCTTCTAACAAAGCATAGAACATTGTGTGGACATTCGCGTTGTTCTGGTATCAGTTGTACAACAGCTTTGATGGATCTTATCTCTTCGAATACACCTACATTCTTCTCTACAATCTTGCTTTCACCTCTGTACCGGTCGTCCTTATGGGCATCCTGGACCAAGACGTCGATGATAAAGTCTCTTTGGCTGTCCCCCAACTGTACCGCCGTGGTATCTTGCGACAAGAATGGACACAACTGAAATTCTGGTATTTGCTCATATCATTTCATACTATAGCAACATGAACTGACTTTCCTTCATAGGGTTTATATGATCGATGGTATCTACCAGTCGGTAATTTGTTTCTTCATGACGTACTTGCTGTTCCATACTGGTGGCTTCGCTAGTGATTCTGGTCGTGATCTCAACAGTAGAGAGCTCATGGGTGTTTATGTTGGTTGTTCTACTATTGTTGTTGTCAACAGCTACGTCATGATGAACCAGTTCCGATGGGATTGGGTTTTCACTCTTGCTACGGTTATCAGTATGCTGATGATCTTTCTTTGGACTGGTGTCTACTCGGCTTTCACTGAAAGTGGTGCATTTTACAAGTCCGCAGAGCACGTCTACGGAGCACTATCTTTCTGGGCTACAATATTTCTTACAGTTATTGTCTGCCTCATTCCCCGCTTCTCGGCAAAGGTTATCCAAAAGCTATACTTCCCTCGCGATATCGATGTTATCCGTGAACAGGTCCGCCAAGGAAAATTTAAGCATCTCTACCACAATGCCGGAACTGGTTCGAAATCTGCAGTATCTTCAGCAGCCTCATCAGAGCTCATTATGAAGCCTGATCCTAATCAACAAATCTATGTTCAAGATGATGACAGAAGACCGATATACCCTCCTAGTGTTGCACCAACTGCTACGACGACAGGCAAGCGCGCTAGCGGGAATGGCAGCAACGGATCAGATGGATCAGGGTATACTGGGAACGGAACATTCACCCCTCACAGATATTCAATGGATACCGGGCGCCCAAGGCCTAGTATGGACCGTGCACGACCAAGCATGGACCGGGTTAGGATGTCGCTCGATCTCCATCGACCAACAAGAGCAAGTTTTGAGGTTACAAGTGACTTCACATCAGCAGCGATGTTGGCGAGACTGGAGTCTTCTCAATCCGGTATTCAGATAAGAAGGCAGTCGATGTTAGGAGACGAAATCCGATTTGATGATATGCGTCGATGAAGAGTGGAGTCGTAGGGTTGTGGGTAATAATGTATAGTGTAGGAAGGGAAAGGATCAAAAGGACATTTTATAGATAGAGATGGAACATAAGAAAGAAAGGCATAGTAGTTATGGGTCGGGTTGATCATTGTTATTTGTTGGGCTGGTTGGAGTGATTTTTATCACTTATCTTTTTCGTTTTACTTTCTTTCTTTTGCTGCTATTGCCTTGAGGGGAGAAGTTCTTGCTGGAAGTTCCGATCTTTCTTCTTTTCTCATTTTTTTTCAGCGGTTGGTTGGCGTTCTATTTTTTGGGGTTGTTTTTTCCTTCTTATTTTCAAGGGTCTATATTTCTCTCTCTCTGGTTTACGTTACTTTATAGTTCGAGAGCTTAGCTTTACGCTAAAATTCATTTTTGGGAACTTTACCAATTCACTTCTCAATCTCTGGTCGATCCTTTTATTGTATTTTTCTGGTCTCTTCTCGTTATACATATGTACCTACTTTCCTGTGTAGACATGTTTACCTATTCGTTACTAGTCCATAATCTTCTCTTCTTATTCTTTTTTCTGTAACCATTTCTATGATTCTAGTCGACTGTCTCGTTTTCTTGAAGTTTCTGGTTTTGTGAAAGGTTTTTTTCTTGCTTTTTCTATTTTTCTTTAATGCTTTTTCGTTTCGTTTTGCGTGTGAGAGATCAAGGGGATGCCTGGTAGCAAAGGGTCGGTAGGGTAGGTTACGTAGTGAACTTGATATGGCTTGAGCGAAGGAATGGATTGGAACGTAACTGAATGGGAATTGGAATTATGTATGTACTTTATCCAGGTAGTTTATCCCAGCTAGATATTTTATCTACCTCTGAGTTTCTATTCTGCGAGTTTGTCTGTATGTTGATTGTGTCTGATGCTGTGTCTGATGTACGTGAAGGGATGTCTTTAGTGGGTTGCTTTGTGTTTAATGCGTAGTGATTTGTGTACTAGATAGAGTCGAACATGGGGGAGTACTGCATGCAATAGAGTAATGATATCTACCCGACCGTTGCGCCCACTCGTTCCATACCCGACCCGAGCATCTGGAGGGCCGCCAGGAATACCCAGCTTGTGATACAAAACACAATTGGACAAACACAGAGACAAGAAAACAATCCCAGGGAGAAAGGTGTTTGAGTTGTCAATCTTATCTTCGTCCGAACTCAAGTAATTGCCACCCACGTGTACCGAATTCGATCCTGGTTTTAAATCGTGCTGGTGTCAGGATGTTGGTACTCTAGGTAGGGCGTATTTATGTCGCCGTATGGCTTCCGATGTCGATGGTGTAACTATACCGTAGGTACTCACTCTAGTAGGGATAGTTACTTTTTTTGTTACTTGTAATAGGAATAAGAGACGGGATGTAGGAGGCCAATGAGATTGAGGGATTTATTTTGCTTACTTGCATTAGCTTGGCCGGCATGCGCTGTTCGGCTGAAATGTGACCGTACCATACTCAGTAGGGATCCCAATAATAGTGGTCGAGTGACGTACCGTGACTATCGTGTGAAGTTGATGCATTTGAAGTCTCAGAGCTGAGGTTTGTGGCTCTGTAACGAACAGCTCGTATCCGTCTAAGAGAGCTGTAAGTTTGTGCCTACATGGATTGTACAGTTCAGTGATCAGTAGAAACTGATAAGTGACTAGATGCGGGAGTATTTAAAGGCACATTTGTGGTTGGATACTTAATGCTCTCGTGATCGGGTAAGAAGGAGCGAGATGCAGTTTATTTATCGAGAGAGAGAGCATATGATAGAGCAGAAGCAATGATTAGCGACAACCAATGATATGGAGGTCAGTTTTTTTGTTCTCCATGTGACGTCTCGAACAGCTCGACACCGGCTTGAAATCTGCCAAGATACTACATGTACCTACATGTAGTGACATATGTGTCGTACAGGAACAAAGTTTTTGGTAATATACCCTTTTTACAGCCAAAGTAGCCATGTTTGGCTACCCGAATCAACCACCTAACCACGTCCAAAAGATTCCACGCTTTGTAATAGCATAGGAAATTATCTCGAGACTTGATTCAAAGGTTTTTGGAATTTTAAATTAACATTTCGGGCGTTGGCGATGTGTTTTTTGAAGTGATGCTCGTTGCCACGCAGGAATTTGTCTGGGAGCTCATACAAAATCCGAGAAACACTTCACAGCTCCATCAAAATAGAGATTAAAATTCCGAGCTTCCTTGAGCATGTTTTCTAGGTAACATTTGATGTTTCCACCAGTTTGAGTGGTTGTTTCGTGTAGCTAAACATGGCTACATACTTTAGCTGTAAAAATGGTATATTACCAAAACTTTTGTACGATACTGCAGGTACAGTAGCAGAAACGTGGATAAAATTACTATGTACTGCTGTCTTTAGCAATGCCGTATGAGTTTTACCCCCATTTCTGTATTAGGGACAAAATGGTATAGGTAGTCAAGTGTTTATTACACGGTTGACTTGGGACACGTCGCTAAGCGAGTCAGGACACATCGGGGACAGGTAGTATATCGTTATATTAGATAAAAGGCAAGAAGCGAGCGGAGAAGAAAGACTCCTCCTCTCATCGAAAAACTTGACTTCTACCACCATTACGTTCACGTTCATCATCGGTTGGTACATGTATTTACGTATGTTTGTTTTGGACAAGACTCTAGGAAATACGAGAGAGCCTATAACGTTTAGGTCTTCTTGCTCACAACCACTCACTCGGTTTTCTCAAAGAAGACCCGGTCTCGATAAACCGACAATCCGCGCCAATAGCCCAGATGAAAAAAAGATTTATTAGGCACATATAATCTGGTTTTAGAAGCAACTAAATATATTCTAGCAGAATAACTGTTTCCAGGCGAATAAATTGTCAAAAACCCTGGTTTTGGGCAGGCGACAATAGAGAATTTACACCCGAATTTGTAGACCATCTAGTCCTTCAATAAAACGGGCGGGGAAATATAATTTATAGTCCTGGTGATTACCTACAGATACTATAGGTTTATCGTGACCGGCACCATACGGCGGCTCATACAGTCGACTGTACGTATAAAAGTACAATCCGTTATTTTGGGGTTTCTGGTCCTATCAAAATCGTTATGACCCGACCTAAGATGAATCGTTAGAACCCTCGGTCGTTACCAACACTACCCTCATTTGACAAGAGTCACCTTGAACGGCGTCGTGGAGAATATGATCTTTGTATGATGCAGCAATTAGTCGCATCGAAGAGCCGCGATCAGCAAGGTGAGAGCTAGCATTGCCAAGACCCCTCAAAAAAAAAAGTCATTTAAGTTGAACCTCCAGCCAGAGAAGATCCCCACACAAAACAACAACCAAACAGCGTTCAAAATGGTCAAACGAAAGAGAGCCGGTCTTGTAAAGCTTAACAATCTGTACTACATCCCTCTCTCGAAATAGTATGCCTCCTAAACTGACCAATCCCCTTCCCTTTGTTACAGGCCTATGCTGCAGAATCTCATTCGCAGAGATCCACCATCATATCGCGAAGAATTTATTCTCCAATACCGCCATTATGAGTCCCAGCGCGATATTTTCATGTCGCAACCCGACGGCAGTGAATGCGCAACTTTCATCGAGTTGATCGGGTTCATGTCGAATGTTTGCAGTTCATTCCCGGACCTTACGCAGAATTTTCCCAGTGATCTCGCAGGGCTGCTCATTAAGGGCCATAATGTGCTGAATCCGGACTTGAGAGAGAAGCTTGTACAGAGTTTGGTTTTGTTGAGGAATAAAGATGTCATCGCATCGACTACGCTTCTGCAGACTTTGTTCCCGGTGTTGACTACTACTCATTCGAAGGCCTTGAGGGCACAAATTTATACCACCATTGTGTCGGATATGAGGAATGCGAACTCGAAGGCAAAGAACCATAAACTTAATAAAACGGTGCAGACTGTTCTATTTGGACTCGTAGAGGCAGGAAAGGATGATCGCATGTCGACCCAGGGACTCTGGGCTGTCAAGTTGACGAGAGAGCTGTGGAAGCGCCGTGTATGGGACGATGCCAGAGCTGTTGAGATCATGAAGGAGGCTTCTTTGAGCACAAATCCTAAAGTCATGGGCGGGAGTGTCAGATTCTTCCTCGGTGTCGACCAGGAAATGGAGGAAGCAGAGGAGAGTGATGATGACAACGTTCCAGATCTCGCTCAAGTGAAGCATCAAGCGGGCATTAACAAGAAGACAAATAAGAAGAAAAGGAAGGTTGATAAAGCTTATGCGACGATCAAGAAGGTGTGTTACTTTAGAAATAGCCCCCAACCTTTGTCAGTTACTAATTTTGCATGTCCCATATATAGAAAGAAAAGAATAAAAATAAACCTCATCCATTGAACTTCTCTGCCCTACACCTCCTCCATGACCCACAAGGCTTCGCTGAAAACCTTTTCTCAAAGCACCTATCTCGCTCTAGTGCGAAGCTTACTATCGAGCAAAAACTCCTTGTGCTGCAGCTCGTATCCCGTTTGATCGGTCTGCACAAATTGAGTGTTTTGGGCATATACTCATACTTACTCAAGTATCTGAGCCCACGACAACAGGATGTAACACAGTTCCTTGCATGTACTGCACAAGCGTCTCACGACCTTGTGCCGCCAGATGTCTTGGAGCCCATTGTTAAGAAGATTGCTGATGAGTTTGTATCCGAGGGTGTAGCATCGGAGGTTGCGACTGCTGGGTATTTTTCCTTCCACAAAAACGAAACTGGTAGGATGCTAACATTCTCCTTAACTATAGTCTTAACGGTATCCGTGAAATCTGTGCCCGTGCCCCATTAGCAATGAATGCAACACTTCTGCAAGATTTGACAGAATACAAGGGCTCTAAGGATAAGGGTGTCATGATGGCTGCTAGAGGTCTTATTGGACTATATCGCGAGATTGCACCGGAGATGCTGAAGAAGAAGGATAGAGGAAAGACTGCATCAATGGGCATGAAGGACCGAGAAACGCTCAGATTTGGTGTTGAGAAAGAGGGTGAAATCGAAGGCTTGGAACTACTCGAACAGTGGAAAGAAGAGCAGAGAGCTCTCAGGAGGGCAGAAAAGGGCCTCGCTAGCGATGATGAAGCAGAAGCAGAGGAGGAGGAAGAGGAAGATGAAGAGGACAATTGGGACCAGTGGGAGGTTGAGGAAGAAGACAGTGACGATGACGGCACGGGCTGGATCAACGTCGATAGTGATAAAGAGATTGAGATTAGCGATTCAGAAGACGAGAGCGAGAAGAAGCCCCGCAAAAAGACAAAGAAAGCTGGTGAAGAAGGGGCGGAAGAGGGAGAGAAGGTAGAGGAGGGAGAGGGAGAGGGGAAAGATTCTGAAACGCCTAAAGACCAGCCCATCGAGGAAAAGGTCAATGAACTGGAAAAGAAGCTTTCAAACCTTGCAACAACCCGCATTCTTACCCCCGCCGACTTTGCAAAACTTGCCGAACTGCGTGCCCAAGCAGGTATGGATAAACTCCTCGGAAACGACAAAAAGAGCAAGCACGCAAGCCGTACAGGCATTACCAACGAAGATGCCGTCGATGTACTCGATATTCAAGGCCCTGCGAAGCGTGGTAAAGCAGATAAGGAAGCGCGTCTTGCAGCTGCTGCGGAGGGCAGAGAAGGCCGTGAAAAGTTTGGATCGAAGAAGTCCAAACACAATGAGAAGGAGCACAGTACGACGAACAAGGAGAAGGCGAGAAAGAAGAATTTCTTGATGACGGTGAGAAAGGCCAAAGGAAAGCAGAAGAGAAGTTTAGTGGAGAAACAGAGGGTGTTGAGGGCTCATGTGGAGAAGCAGAAGAAGCAGAAGAGAAAGCATTAGATTTCTATGCTATGCGATAATACCTTTTTGTTTTTTTGTACAAGGCTTTGAAGGGTTTTTTTATGGGATCTTTTGTATATATGCGCCGCCTCTTTGTCTTTTCCTTTCCAAAAGTTGTAACTGTATTACACATGACGGAGTGGGTAATTTGGTCTATTTGATATCAGCAAAGTCTACACGCAAGAGTGATAGGTCTTGAATGGGATCCAGGACGTCACTTTGGGACCGTTGTCTAAGAGCATGGCTACTGAGGCTACAAAAATCCATTTAGTCATCGAGTGAGATACTATGCTTCCAAAGTTAAGCATCTAATAAGACTATATGTACTTTCCCCCCCTCTTAAAAACAATTATATCTATGCCTTGTGGCTCTCTGCAAACTCCCTGATGTACGCCGCCAGCTTATCTGCTCCCTCTTCAGTGATAGAGTTATCTGAAGAGAATAGTTAGACCAACCCCACTCAACCAAAAAAATCAGGCAAGGATCCTTACAGTTACTAATTCTGATACCACCTACACTTCGGTGCCCCTTCAACCCGGTCATCCCTTGCTTCGCAGCAAGTTTGACGAATTCATCCTCAAGACCCTCGCCAGAAATGCGGTAGCAGATATTCATACGTGACCTAGAACCCGGTACGGTGACAATCTTGTAAATCTCCGGCGATGCCTCCAGGGCAGCGTACAGCTTATCACCTATGAACGAAAACCTTTTATTAGATAATATTTCCAGAAAAAGATAACGTAGGGTAGAAATTCATACTCTTCCTTCCGGAAATCTCCTCCTGTTTTTGGAGACCACCACCAGCGATGAGATCCTGCATGACCTCCTTGGCGATCCAGACGTCAAAGATGGGTAGAGTGTTGTAGAGGGAACCGTTCTTGGCAAGCGTCTTGTAGTCAAACATGATGGGCTGGATAGGGAGCCCAAGAGCACGCTGGGTCTGGAGTGTGGGCTGGTTTGCGAGAATGTCGTTGCGGATGATGACCATTGTCAGACCTGTGGTGCCAACATTTTTTTGTGCTCCAGCCTGCTGAAGTTAGCAATGCCCCACTCAAGAAGGTTCAGGAAAAAATGAGACTTACAAAGATCACTGCATACTTGCTAACATCAACTCTCCTGCTCAAAATGTTGCTGCTCATATCGGCAACAACCAATCTCTCCTTGTCCTCTGCCAACACGGTTGGGAAAGCCGGAAACTCAACACCATCAACAGTCTCATTGTCACAGAAGTAGGTGAAGATGCTCTTCTCCTTCTCCGTGAGCTTCCATGTGTCCTCCACGGGAATCTTTCCATACTTTCCGCCATTGGCCTCCTTGGCATTGACAGCGACATTCACCATCCACTCTCCTGCCAGTCTTGAAGCTTCCTCACTTGCCTTCTGACTCCATACTCCGGTGACAAGGTAGTCCATCTTGGAATCCAGAAGCCTCCGGCGCACAGCGTCAATGTCGTTATTTGAGTTGTTGAGTTCCCGCTGCACCCAGTATCCAAGAAGATTATACACCACGCCCGAGAACTGGGAGGTTCCTCCACCCTGCATGAAAATAACTGAGTAGTCATCTGGAATAGACAAAAGGGTTTTCAAAGAATCTGCAGCATCGGTGACAATCTTTCCGCAGAGTGCTGAACGATGGGAGTGCTCAGCAAGACCGAGACCAGTATCTTCATGGTTTAGGATGGAAACGGAGGCGCGGGCGAGCACTGAAGTTGGTATACGGGCAGGTCCGGCACCAAAATGGAAGATTTCTTCACGAGCGGGCATTGTGGGGTATCTGGTAAAATTGAGTGTCTAGGATTTTATGGTTCCTGAAGAATAGATAAGTCAATTCCAAGGTCAACAGGCGAACTTCCAGATTATAAGTTTGAGCAGTGAGTCACAAACCTTGAAAGACGATTTTCTTAATAAAAATCACCTATGCTAAGTTTTTCTGGATAAACTCAAAGAATTGGGCAATTGAGGAATTGGGCGAAAAATTTGAACTGAAATCGCGACATCGAAATTTGAGTCACTACGCCCCCCGCCTTCACCCCACGCTTTTAGCGTTATCTGATCATGCGGGTCCAAGCTAGCACAGAGCCTCAATAATCTACTAAAGTGTTGATACCTGGAAATATTACAATTGCTCAAAACGGTAAAATCAATTATTCGTTTCTACATGGCACAAATCCTTCCCTCTAGATAACGTACATAGCAGCCCCTCCGACTACTTCTTGGTCCCATAAAAACCCCTAAACGTACTTTAAAGCAGTGGTAATGGTCCTTCAGATGTCTGGGGGTTCCTTAGTTGCCACAGAATAGCTCAAAGAAGTATTCCCGCCACCATTGCTACTGAGCTCAAAAATCGCCCAACTTTCACCCTCACCCACGAAGAAAAAAAGAACGCAAAACATGGAGAACAAAAGAAAAATAACCCCCGCAAATACAAAAGATACAAAAAAAAAAAAAAAAACTATAGTTTAGCCGCAGTACTACCCACCGTCACGATCTCATTGTACAGCAGAGTTGTCAAAAAGTCCGCGTACTCCTCGCCCGTGATTTGGGTCGCAAAGTATCTTGAAGCGAGCTGGTATTTGTTTCCTGGCGCCGCCTTACTTGAGAGTCTTTCAGTAGCTTCCTGGAGTAGTTGCAGGTTATATTCTTTGGTGATCTTCTTGCCCTCTGCTGTTGAGATTCCATGCTTGGCCCATTGCCATAGCTGTTTTCTATCAGAATTTGGTCAAGTCATCTAGGAAATGGAAGGAGCTAACCTGAGAGCGCGAAACCTCGGCTGTTGCAGCATCTTCCATAAGGTAGTTAAGAGGTACGCAACCAACTGCGCGGAGCCAACCCTCCATGTATCCTAGACCGATGTCGATATTCTTGCGGATCCCTTCCTCGGTGATCGTTCCGGGCATATTCATGTTCAAAAGGTCGTTTGATGTTACAGATACATCCTCACGGCGCTTGAAGATCTGGTTGGGTGTAGGCATGTTCTTGTTGAACACATCTGTAGCAATTTTTGCCAATGCGGGGTGAGCAACCCTAAACAATAAATGTCAGTTCTCTCGCCTCATATACATAAGGATTGCCGAAGTGTAATTACCAAGTTCCACTGTAAATAAGTTAGCAATCATTCATACTAAAGTCATTATAACATCATAGAATAAAACGAGTAACATACTCATGACCCGCACGAACTTCACGCAGCTTATCCGCATACACGCCCTCCATAGCCTTCTTGTTTGCCTCAGCATCGTCCTTGATAGGGATTTGTGCAGCCATTCCACCCTATTCACAAATTAGACTATTGCTATTGCTAGTAATATAGTATAGAGTACTGACCATAGCATGAACGCCTCTGCGATGGCAAGTCTTAATCAATAACTTAACATATGACTCCATGAATGGAACAGTCATGGTAACAGCACTTCTGTCGGGTAGAATAAATTGAGAGTTGTTTCTGAACTTCTTGATGACACTGAAAATGTAATCCCAACGCCCACAGTTGAGACCTGAGCTGTGCTGGCGGAGCTCATAGATGATCTACTCATAAAAACCAATAAGCTATCCTCGCCTATACCAAGCGAAAGATAAAACTCACCTCGTCCATTTCGAATACGGCCAAAATGGTCTCAATCAACACTGTACCCCTGATAGTACCCCTTGAAAGTCCAACGGTGTCCTGGGCAAGGTTGAAGACATCGTTCCACAGTCTTGCCTCGAGGTGAGATTCCATTTTAGGGAGGTAGAAGTACGGCCCGTGGCCATTCTCGACGAGTTTCTTTGCATTGTGGAAAAAGTATAGACCGAAATCGAATAGACTGCCAGAGATAGCTTCTCCGTCAACAACGAAGTGTCTTTCTTCAAGATGCCAGCCTCGAGGACTATAATACTTTAGCAAAAGCGATTACAATAGGATTTTGCATCTCTCACCGAACAATAAGAGTAGGAAGAGGTCTGTCAGTGCGAAGTTTGTAGTCCTTGCCGTTGAGGTTGAAATCAATCTCCCGGCGAATGGCGTCATAGAGGTTAACTTGACCATTGACCATGTTATCCCACGTGGGAGAGTTGGAATCTACAACGACCAGTCAGCACCAATTTATCTATAACACCAACGAATAGTGATCAATTAAATCTTGGAGACCAAGAGATAAAATATTTACCTTCAAAATCAGCCATGTATGTCCAAACGTCTGAGTTCAGCGCATTCACAACCATCTTCCTGTCTGTTGGTCCAGTAATCTCCACTCTCCTGTCTACGAGACCGGGAGCAGGATCTGCTCCTCTCCATGCATCATCCTCACGAATGTGCTTGGTCTCTGGAAGGAAAGTGGGAACAACACCTTTGTCAATCTCAGCTTGACGGTCGACACGGCGCTGAAGAAGCTGCTTGCGAGTTGCGTTGAAGGTTCTGTGAAGAGTTGCAAGGAAAGCACAAGCTTCCTTTGTCAGAATCTTGCGGTGGCTGTCATGTATCTTTCCCAGTATCTGGACACCTTCAAGGAGGGATTCGACGGAGGCCATTTTTCTTTTTTTTCTTTTGTCTGTTAACGTATTGGTAGAGATATTGCTCAAAAGATTTCACACTTTCAGGGTCAATCAGAAGGAAGAGGATTTAATGATGATTACAGACAAGAACGAAGGGCGACTACTTGTGTCTTTATTCCGGACAGAAGGGCATCTATTCGGTTGTTGTCCTTGGAAACTTACTTTCAGTTTACTAACATCTGATAGCCGTGGGGAGGGCGTGGGGACCGTGCATCGTCCAGATGCAGAACTATTCCCCCGCAAATATCCACCGGCTATCGTCGCAAGTGTGCTGAAGACCAGTCCCCCTCCACCCGAAACCAAATACCGTGCCCCTCCCAAAGGTAACACCGTCCTCTCTTGTCAACATTCTTAACTCCATCTCGGACATGAGGATGCGGAATTAGACAAACTCCTCAAGCTCGCCATACCCTCCTGCTTCTTCTGTGCATTCAATTCGTATCCTACAGCTTTTCTTTCTTTAAGAATTGATAGAATTACTCGATAGCTTTTGTACAATTGAAGTATTTGATATGACGTTATCCCTGTATCGCATCTTATCACGGGTAGGTATCGGCACATGTTTTGACATTCGGTCAACAGGCACGGGCCCCCGGACCTCGGCTAGTACCGCTTGCCTGGCCTACGGTTTCGCCCGAGGGAATATTCGGGGTCATGTTAGAGCACCGGAGCACCTGAGTTACACGGGCAAATGTTTCACGTCTGTGTTTCTCAATCTTTTCCGGCAAGGAGGTTGAGTTACGAGTGATTTTACAGGGGTCTATCTTTGAGAGCCAGGTTTCTTACCGAAAGTTAGACTCATCATTCAACCAAGACCATCTCATGTGGGAAATCCCTCTTACGAACTCAACCACCCGGTGCTGTGCATTGTGCAGCCCTGAATAACATCAAAACCAGGAATTTTTTTTTTAAAAAAATTGGGTTCTTTTGGTATGATAAGATGTCTCCCTCTATCAAACATTGTGATTTAATTTCAAGGCACGTAAGTTTTGAAAGACCCACAAGCAAACCCCGTGGGGTAAAAAACAGATATGCTACCTTATCCTCATCCATACCTTCCCACACTAGCCTAATCCTTGTCTGCAATGCTCTGTAGCCTCTCATCGATCTCGTCGATGGTCAACTTCCTAAAACCAGGCTTCCCCTCGGCCCCGACAACACCCACCTCCACCTCTCCGCTCTTAAAGTCTACACTCAATACCGCGCTCAGTGCCGAGATACCAAGTTCTACGACTTCTTTCCAGTCGCCGCCAGCACATTCCTTGTTCTTGAGCTTCTTCTCAAGATGGTTGAGGGCTTCCTGCTGCTTGGGGCCAGACGCGGTAGCTTTGTATCCTACGTAGTATCCAGCAGGGTCGGTCTTGAAGAGTTGCGGGCCATTCTCGTCATCAATGGAGATTAATGTCATGGAGACACCGAGGGGACGCATGTAGGCCTTTTCTATGTGTCAATAATTGGAGAGCGGGCCATTTAGCCTTTAAAAAACTACAGGGGAAACCTACACGTTGGGTATACACCTGGTTGATGTTTGCAAGTCTTTTCGCTAGGACGTCGCATGGCATTTCATAACCAAACTTGTATCTAAACTCAGCCGCTTCACCGCGAGCACGAGTAACTGATGCGCGGGCATCGGCGATAGACCCGGTCATAACACATCCGACAGATGGTGAAAGCTGGAAGATATATGTGACAGATGCCGGGTCAAGAAGCTTATCCTGTTGTTTGTAGGTTCACCTGGTTAGTTAGCTCGTAGGCTGGCGATACTCTTAAACATATCCCCACAACGTCGGGAGAGAATGCTAGAAGATGGAACGTACTGGGACTTTCTTCTGCGAGATGACTACAGCGCAGTCCTTTCCTCTGACTCCGATGGAGGTAATATTCGCAGCTGTGATGGCCTTGAAAGCATATTCTGCTCAACTGCATCAGCTTCCATCTCTCCATCTATATTCCCATCTACCTATCTGCAAGCCATTCATCCAACTATACAGGAAATGATATACGAACCAACTTGGTACAATCTTCCTGTGTCTGAGAAGATGGTAATATGTCTGTCGAAACCGGCGCTACCTGTTGCCCGCACTCATCAGCCACTACCCCTCCAAGCACCCCCGAGCTGCCACAGACAACTGGGCCATCGACGAACCTGACATCTTTGCTACTTCAAATTCGAAATTCTATCCAGTATAAGGTAGCGAGATTACTGACTTCGATTATTCGGCCGTGGAGATTCGTTGATGGAGAGCTGGGGGTGATGCGTACAAAGATGGCTTGGTGTTTGGTGGTGTCGAAACCCCACGGTTGCTAGGCCCTGGGTGACTAAGCCATAGCTCCACTTCACGAAAGATCACTCGCGTTTTCTGCCAAACAATATCAGTCGAGTGTTCGAATCGAGAACCGGCGTGAGTCAACCAAGAGGTCGGTATCACCTTTAAGATTTTCCACGATCTACCCTTACAAGTGTCAAGCTTTTAATCGTACGAATCATTGGAGATGTCTGTTATGCCTTAATTCTCCCCTCTAACCGCGGATATAGAACTGAGGTTTTCGAAAGGGAAAAAAAAATGAAAACGAGGCAAAATGCCATAGCATAGATCATGGATAACGTGACAATTTACGATCATAATCTTTCTACACTTTTAAGTTCTCTGTGCAGCAGCCGGCACTTCCAACCTCCATCAAATCTCGAGAACGCCCGTCAGATGCAGCTTTTGCGTTCACGTGGTCGCACTATGACATTCGCGATCAGTGTCCCCCACAAGCAGCGGAGAAATGCACATGGGCCACCTTTGACGCCGGTTACCACTATCAAGAGTCTAGACTTGTAATTGGCACCTCAATCGATACGAGCGGTTGGTTGGGTGTTCGGGTTTCAAAAAAACGGTGATAATTAACTGCAAGCTGCGGGAACTAGCATGCATGGAAGACCGACTAGCTAGGATGATGATGGAATTGAACTGTTTCACTGGCGGACGAAGATGATCTTGTGAACCACCTTTCCCCCACTGCCCCGTCGTTCTTCAACGTTATACATTGAAATATCTACTCTGGCTTGGTGCGCAGCAATACTAATACATTAGCCCAGGGCTACACAGCGGAAGTAATACAGACGGAGTACATATGCACTTGACGGTCGTCATGAAGGAGACCTCAGTGCTAAGAGCTATTCCACGTATAACCTCCGTCGGCATAGTTACCGCCCCTTTACCTCCGTCCGATCATCATCGGGAGTGCCGATTTGCTTTTTACATCTGCAGCGAGCGTCATCAAAGCGGTGCTAACTTATCTTACTTGTTTATTTAAATTTCCCCTTGATTGCCGATAGGTTAATGTGCAAGGTTTAATAGCAGCACATATAGTCACTGGACTTCAGTGGTATATCCGTGTAACTCACGCCTGCAAGGGGGGATGAGAGTTTCTTGTGGGGATTCCGCTGATCTCCTAGGACCGTATCATCCACGCTGGCAGCAGGTCTCGGTACTGTATGTGTGGGGCACAGATTTCTTTGGCTTTGAGGGTCTAGGTAAGGTATCATGGTGTGTTATGACTGCTCTACTAAACATACATGTAATATTGGCACCCCTGCCAGTGCCATCGATATTGGATTGGCCGAAAGGGGGGGATCCGGGAATATCACCGCCAATTGCTCATAGTTGTACCAGAAAGTCACGATTCCAACAAATAGTAAATTGCGATTTGTTTATTTTAAAAATTCAGGGGGTATCATAGCTGGTGTACTTATACATATACATACAGGCCCTTCTTCTAGAGAATGGAACGCGAGAAAAAAAGATATAGAACAAAATAATAAGAAAACCCCAACGGCAAACGTTAACTAAAACCACGCATTAAAAACAAACAATGGGTGTAAAAAAAAAAATTGGGTGTCGAAGTGAATGAAGAAAAAAGTGTACCCAAAGAGGAGCGTGACGCTACGCACTATTACAAACCAGATGTATATAGTATGGAAGCGAACGCAAACGAAAGTCAGAATGTTATAATGCAAAAATGATACCAATATCCCAGTCCAAGGTCCAGACAGCAAAGAAAGTGTTGGTGTCTCTGCGTGCTGGACAGATTTTACCCAGTCGGGTCAATGCAGCCCACCAATTATTCCTTAGTTGGAAAGTTTCAACCTCGCCGCCTTTACACACCAATTCCGATTGATTGTCTTTATAAACCCTGCCCAAAGTGTAACGAGAGCCCAATCGCCAGATACGCCTGTCACAAATGTTCAAATCCCTCGCCATGTTGTCGTTGTTCGTTTAAACCCATATCTTGCCAACCATGATTATTTGGGGTGTTGTTTAGATGTTACCAACGCCCCATTTCTGGTCGATGAGCCGGTAGCGCAGTTGTTCTTTCCGGTACTTGATGAGCATTCCGGCACAGAGCATGACAACAGCATCCATTCCAACAACACCAAAGGCAGCGGTAAAGAGAAGACCCAACCACCTCTCCGAATAACTTGAGAAGGCACTTACACAGCCCTCCTTTGAAGCTGCAACAAGATCACTCGTGCAAACGCTGTCACGGACATACATAGGCGATGTGCTATTCATGTATCCACAGCAGTCGAACTATATTTCCAGGGCAGGGGTTGTCAGTTTCCATTTATAGAAATATGTTTATAGGTACTTTGAACCGAATGACAACCCATGAATCTCACACCGAATCTCACGCCATCCTAAGCGCCCATAGGAAATCGGAAGGGAAAATACCTTTTGTTGTAAAATGCTCTGGGTGACATTATTCTGCTGACCCCAGATCGTCTCCAAATTCGCGCGTGTTGTCAAAGTCTGTAGCCATTCGCTCAGGCCGAGAACCAAAGTGAAGAGCGCGCAAACCATAACAAGCCATCCATGAGCCTTGAGCCATCCACGGGATGTAGGCAGGGCAAATGATGGCAATGAGATCAAGAAAGCTGCAATAATGAGGGCGCCATTTGCAATAACGGCTGTAGTAGTCCAGGTTAT